AGGGTAATAGATAAATTAAATAATCTCAAGCTCTACACGATGAGCATAAGATAAGAATTTAAAAATTAAATGTACAAAGATAGTGTAATATCCAAGAGGAAATATTAGAAAAACTCTAATAATATTAACAAATCTGTAAAATATTTAGAATATCTAAAAATATCTATAAATTGGACTAACTGGCGAAAAAAAATAAAGTCTAGAGAACGTATGACTGACAAACTAAAACTTTGGGAAAGATATCAACTGACATAATTTTTAAACGACGACGGTTGTTTAAAATAACAGCTGGATCGACCGGCTGTCAATAGCCGACACCACACACACAACCACGTTTCCTCGCTGCAATCAGTGCGGCGACAACGCAGGGCGGTCAGCTGATACCGCGAAAGCAATAAAACCTACGACCATTATAGTCGGTAACAAAACTTTCAAAACGCATCCAATGACATGTCCAGCCTAAAAGCAAGATTATCAACACCAGATTCAGTTCCATAAACGAAGTCCTCATATATTGGGACTAACTGGCAAAAAAAAATAAAGTCTGGAGAACGTGTGATTGACAAACTAAAGCCTTGGGAAGACATCGGAAACTGACAATAATTTTTAAACGACGACGGTTGATATAATTGAGACAATGACACACGAACAATTAAAAAACGGATCTAATTTTAAAAAAAAGCTGAATCGTTCAGCTGTGAACAGCTGACTCCAACCACCTGTTACTTAAAACCAGATTCATTTTCCACGTAAATTGGGCTTTTATTTTAAAAATACAAAGAGAACTTTTAAATTAAAATCCGATTTACGTGAAAAAAATTTTAACAATAATTTATAACAATAATAAAGAATTAATCTCCATGGTAAACAATTTTAAGGAAAACAATTCAGAGTGATTTTTCAGCGGTATAGAAAAATTAAATCATTAAATTAAAAAATAAAAAGTGATTGTATTGAAAAATAAAAAGTTCTTTCATTTTATCACCTTTTCATATATTAATTCTTGCGTCAGAAACTTTTGGACTTTATTATTACGTATATTACAATCACTACATGTAAAATTTTTTGAAAAAGTAATTTATCATATTATACACGTTTCACCTAATAAACGGTAAGCAATACAAAATAACGAAAAATCAAAAGTTCGTTATCACTTTCGGATAAATATTTTCACACTGTTCACTGAACGCGGTCTCTTGTCAAACTGACAAGCAGGCGTCGTGTAAAGAACGATTATTGATTGCGTACAATTATTGATTGGATACGAGCGTGCGCTCTTCTTAGGACAATGCCATCGACGCGTCGCTTCACAAAACATTATTAAAAGCTGGCGCAAGCGTATTTATGCATGTCTCTAGAAGCTATAACTGAGCAAAACTTAAGCTGATCATTGCAGTAACATATCGGTTGTCTTTGTGAAACAAACATGAGCGATCCGAAACACGTAATAGATAACAAAAACGCCGATGACTACGGTATACAATTAAATCGATGGTTTCTCATATCGCTAGGTGCTTGGCCACAAACAAGTGCGTCGAACAAAATAAAAAAACTCGCGGTGTCAATGCAAATCTTCATTTTTTCGGCCACGATGGCGATCATTCTGCTACCATGCATGTTGCACATGGCGCTTGAAAAAAGAGATATTAAGACTAAATTAAACGCCCTCGTTCCGCTAGTTAACAGACTCATGGGATCCATAAATTACTGGGCGTTACTTACGCGTAACAAAGATATTCAACGTTGCATATGGCATATGGAGGCGGATTGGAAACTCGTTCGGAGAAGCGTTGACCGTGAAGTGATGTTCCAATATGCCAAGATCGGCCGCTTCATGACCGTAATTTGCGCGACGTTTATGCATGGTGCTACGGTGTTACTTACCGCGGTCACGTCGATGAAAAGAATAACTGTTATCATCGGGAACAGAACCATTACGATGCATCCGATGACATGTCCAATGTACAGCAAAATGCTTGACGTGAGACTCAGCCCTGCAAACGAAATCATGCTGGGTATACAAACCTTCTCGGCATTTGTAATGGCTTCCTCTACAGTAGCTATTTGTAGTCTTGCTGCCGTCTTCGCGATGCATGCTTGCGGTCAACTGAACGTAATGCATACGTGGTTAAATGAGCTCGCCGAGGAGAAGAATAATCATTTAGCAGAACAAAAACTTGCAGCCATCGTGAAACATCATTGGAGAGTCCTCGGGTATTTTACTTACAATTAGATATAAAGTTTCGATTGCACTTTGTGTGAGTGTGTGTCTTTTTATTGAGTATTAAAGATAAAATAAATATTTCCATTACATTGCTTTGCACGAACTAATATTTTACGCTAAACTTAAAGTATTGTCATATATTATAAACTTAAGTACACACACACAAACACAAACACATACACATACACACATATGTACATACATACACAGATGAGTGTATTCCTATTATTTAAATGTTCTTCATGTTACACAGTACACAAAGATTATAAAAAAAATATTCCGAATATTAACACAAATCGTAGATCATCTAAAATAAATTTTGCAAAAGAAACGTGTCAGCACGTCTGATGTGTTGTAACTGCAGAGATATGTTTCAGTTTTGTACAGCAAATAGAAAGTATTATGCATAAAGCCTGTCTAGGAGAATTAATGGGATGCACGATGTGTATGTGTTTACTTGGATATTACACTGTTATGGTATGCTAAAGAAAAATAAAATTTCCTTTTATATCGCAAATAATATAACTGAGATCACAAAAACTGAGTCACAAAAACAGATAAATCTTAATTTTTTCTCAGTAAATAAAGCTATCAATTGATTTTCCAGACCTGGAATGCGTTCAATGGGGCAAAAATATTAACATATTTTATCGGATACATAGCAATGGGTTTCAATATATTTATATATTGTTACATCGGTGAAATCCTCACGGAGCAGGTAATACCTTGAAATAAAAAAGATTTTTTAGAATTATGAAAATTCAATCATTCTGATTATACATATATAAAATATAATACAATGTCGTTTCGTTAAATAAATATGAAATATTGAATGCTTAATTATTATTTTATTATTATATATTTAAGCAAGTAATGTAATTGTATTAACAATATTAACATATTAAAATACTTTCTTAATATCAAGTTACATTGTACAAGTTATTATTGCGATTTCGAAAAGTAAGGGGCTTGTTGACACAAGAGGCAAATTGGCATTGCCTTTTGTTCATATGTTTCATATATTTATGGCGAAAAAAACAATGGAAAAGTTATCACAAAATATCTCTTTTATGACACAGATACTTTTCTCAAAGTTTTATTTAAATCAAACAAGTATTGCAATAAAAAAAAAGAAAATTGATTCAAGAGGTGGCAAGTAAATTTTCAAACGTTTTAAAATATAGTATTGATGTTCTTCAGCTTAAGAAGTAAATCAAAGTAACGTATTATTAGTTAAAAGAAAAGTTTCTGTTATACTATATACAACATGTTATTTTGAGGAACAACAGTAATTTATTGTAACATATTGACTGAAATCAAACGTATATAAAATATATGTATGAGGTTTATTAACTCATATTTTAGGCACGCTTAGCTTGACTTACTGTTGCTGCGCGCGTAAGACGTGTGTGAATATGCGATTTGCTACCTACAATGTTGATAGAAGCATATATATCTATATTTAATATTTTTATATTAAAGAAAACCACATCTAAAATAATTTACAATTGTTTTTCTGCAACAGCATTTTGTTATTCGATCATTACACAAATCTTCGAAAGATAGAATTTTTATCAAGAAATGCATATCTGGTATCTGTTTATTATTCCTATCACGTTTTCATTTATTTAACATGGACTTTTATCGTATAGCCAACTATTGAGAAAAGCTGACTACAATGCAGCTCGTTCGTATTTCACTTATTACGAAGAAACTATACAGTATACAGAAGCGTTCCTGGCATGAAAATGTAGAGAAAGGTTCTCTTTATCATATTAGTGTTGTTTAATCATGATAATTAGTTGTATAAAAAATCAAATCCCGAAATTGTGAAAACTGTGCGAACGAGTCCCGGTCTTCCCTACCGATCTCTCTAAGGCTGCGGTCCACTTAATGCTACAAATGCTTCGAAGGATTCCTCTTCTCCTTTTTTTTAATAAAGAAAGAAGGAGAGGAAGAACGCTTTAAAGCATTTGTAGCGTCAAGTGGACCGCAGCTTAAGATACTCGTCAGTCAACTAAAGGTCATTAACAAGATCTTACTACAGATCGAAATAATAGAAATCACAATAATAGTATAAATATTTGTACTATAATTTAATTATACAACCACGTGCCCAAACTCACACTAGCCATTGAATTGTAAATACAGTATTAGTACAAATCAAACAAATAAATATGATTAGTCATATATTTTACTATGATTTTACTATCATCTCATTAGACGTTTAAATACTTGAAGAAATTTCTAAATATTTTCATTTATTAGTGTAAAAAAATTGGAGACATAGCATATATGACTAATTGGTATAAACTGCCTCACAAAACAGCGCTTAGTCTCATTTTGATAATCATGCAGTCGAGTCACATTATCAAGATAACTGCGGGAAAACTAGTTCTGTTATCCATATCAACATTTGGTGACGTAAGTAACACGCATACTACAATTAATGACGATGTCGAATAAAATTTTGATAAAATTTGCTTTCTTATCGTACATAAATTATTATAATAATTGTATAATGACTTTACGATTTAATCTGATACAATGTACTGTATCAAAGCAAATATCAACAATGTAATAATTTTTGTACATTTATTGTTAGCAAAAAATTAAGACATTTTATCGTTTCAGATAATCAAAACTTCTACGGCATATTTGAATATCTTACGAACGATGACTGCATAAAACATAAAAATTTTGAAATTATGTATAGAATATTTTACAAATGTTAAATAAAGATTAAATGTTAAATAAACAAACTTAATAATAATTATGTTATAAGAGAATTTTCTGCGATTAAGTTCTTAAAAGTACAAATAATAGATACCTCTCACAATTTCTCTGAATCTAAAAGACATTAAACTTAATACTTCACTAACTTCACAAAACCTGCATGCACAGCCACGAAACAAAGTACTGTTGTATTCATCTCCGAACGCGGCCTTAACAGAATTATGGACTCAATAAACTATCGGATGTTGCTCCAGCGCAGGCTCGACATTCAGGATTGTATACAACACATGGAGACTGATTGTCTGCTCATACAAAGAATCGGAGATCAAGAAACAATGCTGGAATATGCAAAGTTCGGACGTTTCCTCGCCGCAATCAGTGCGGCGACAATGTAGGGTAATCAGCTACTTTTCGGTATTGCAAAAGTAATAAAACCTACGACCATTACAGTTGGTAACGAGACTTTCAAAACACATTCGATGACGTATCCAGTATATACAGTAAAATTATTGACACAATATACAGTCCTATAATTGAACAAAGTCATGTTGGCTGTCGTGACGATATTTATAGTGAGTTCGGCAAAAGTGAGTATTTGCAGCCTCGCTGGCGTTCTCGCGATGCACGCCTGCGGCCACCTAAACGTGTTGTATACATGGTTAAACGAATTCGTCAACGATTATGACAAGAAGGGGAATCAATCGGTTGAACAAAAATTGGATGCTATATTAGTGAGCATCACTTAAGAGTCCTAAGATACTCTACTTTATTATAAACGTGTACTTCTTGACTGTAAATTCGCATAAATTTGCCTTTAGAAAGACATGATTTAGAAATAAATATTTATTTTTGTTGCACATACAGATATACATATTTCATAATAATTAAAATATATTGTCATTTGTATGGAA